AGCCAATGTTCACTTCGAAAACCGCTATTTTAATCCCCATCTCTCCAAAAGCGAAAGCTCATCGAAATCAAAGTGATAGGCAGCACTCGAGATCCACTCGTTAGATCGGAACAGTCTTGCTACTCGTTTGTTAAACGTAAATTCCCTTTGATCGTACTGTTGACACTTGTCTGCTCCATGTTCGACGGCTAGTATGTTATAAATACATATATATGTATATATTGTACATATATTGAGATATGTAGATAGTGAGATATATATGTACATATATATATATAGAGAGAGAGAGAGAGAAGAGAAAGACGATGTCGATGAAAAAAAAAAAAAAAAGAAGAAACAAAAACGGCAGATCGACGGTCGTAGTACCGGAGTCAGGTCAACCCGGGCAAACAGGAAACGGGACTTACGTCACCGCCTCCGGTACGGACTCTCGGTCCACTCTGAGCACCATCGACAACGTGAAACACGATTTCGCGATTTTATACCATGCGCTTTTGCACGCTCGAATTACCGCAACCGGATCGCGACGTTTTCGATGCACCTCGGCCGTCAATTCCGTACAGATTGAACAGATTGCAACTAGCAATCTAAACGAAACATTTTCGCCGAAAGATTTTCCCTCGCTGCACCGTACGTTTATTGCAGTAGCTGTGTACTTCATCACGGCGTACACGTTATCGTTATAGAATTATTTGACAAATTTTCCGGAATTTAGCGGAGCAATAAATTCAATCATTCGGCAGAGAGTTATTTATTAAATTCGATAATAAATTTCTATTATGGCGCAATTATCATCGTTGCTTCGTTTCTCAGTACAATTTTTAACTATATATCATTTAGTATCGTTTAATTTCAAAGCTCGTATCTTGTGACTTACGCGACAACGATCGCTAGTAATTTTTATCGATTTTTATCGATCGAACTTCAAATTCAAATGGAAACTCGAGTCACACAAATTTAATTCAAGCTTGTGACGAAAACAAATCAAATAATTTCGTATAGAACGTTCCTGTGAAATTTTATTTCCACGCCGGGGGATTATACACATTGTCAATTTGCTGGAAGAGGGACGGTCTTTATTGAAGAAACGATTGAAAGACTGTCTTTGTTCAACGAAGGTTTTTATCATTGGCAACTATCGCGAGCGGCCGATACAGAACATGCTAGAAGGTGAGTCGCCCGCGCTGTGAATTGCAGTGTAAGGAAATTGATATCGGTGATATTATTACCCGAAGGCAAAGGAATGAAAGTTCCGAACTTTTAACTGCAGAAAATTTCAACCGCGATAATTTGGTAACAAAGCAAAAGTTCGAAACAAAAGTTTCAAGAGAGTTGAATTCCAAAGTTCTATGCCGAGTGGTAGCATTTAGATTATTCCGCGTGATAGGATTGATTCGACACACTCTCGGCGATTTGTCATTTCTTCGATTACTTTTCATCCACTTGTATTCTTTCTCTCTCTCTTAAAGTTTCAAGGAAAAGAATTTTCAAGTTTCAATTTTTTGCTAAAGATGTTTAATTCTTTTCGGTTGATTAAAACGAAAGCTAAATTTAGACATGAAAATTCGAAAAAAGATTAATTTGGAAGCAAAATAAGAATCGATCTAAAATATAGTTTACAAGCGACAGGCAATAATAATTAATTTAATAATATAAATAAATTTAATAATTTATATTAATAAATTTAATATCAATTTAATTTTACTTAATTTTAATAATTTATATTAATGATAATAATAATTTTGTTACAATTGTCAGAAAGCACGTTTCTTGCTAATATTGCATCAAAATTATATTTTAAACTGTGTATCGTTATCTTCTTGGCATTTTCGATAAATCTACAATCACATCCCTTGTATATTTCTTAACATCTCACATACAAAGACACATATATACGCTACTCTAAAATTTTAAAACCTGAATGGATCGACAAATCATGATTTCAATTTCCCTCCAATTTAACTACCAATTCGGATACTAAAGAGAGCGTATCAGAAAAAAAAAGGAAATGCAAGAGCGAGATCAACCACAGATTCTATCGTTGACAAGGGATTATCGATGTCAGTGTATCAGTGGCAAGGAAATGAAAGTTTCATCGGTGAATTTTCATTTACGTGCCACCAGGTCAGTACCAACAGTTGCGTTACATATACACATCCGAGAGAGCGTATTTATGGAAAATCGATTTCACGTGCGTGCGACGAAACTTCAACCGGGACAATCGCATGACGTGCAATGATTTTCAGATGTATGCACGATTATTCCCAACCTGGTCTTCCACCTTACAGGACTGCCGTTGCCCCGGTGTGCAAGGGGTGAATGATTAACACCTGACATGTGACTTCCCTTTCTCATACCTCGTTAACAACACAAAGAAACTGGTAATATCTTGGCGCACGTGCCAAACACACCGAATAAACGCATCTCGAAGTAAGTGGAAACCCACTGGACTTACTTCTCGATGACGTGGAATATAAATGAATGGATTGTGCATCGAAGGCGAATAATGCAAATATTTTAACTTTTAGAGAACAGTATTTGCTATCTTTCGAAAGTATCGAAGAGTTCAATTTCAAAGCGCGATGTGTTCCGAACTCTGACTATCCGTGTTACGAACAATTTTTATCGACGATATTCCAAAATATTATAATGTTTAAATTTAATTATATTGTCATCGAGAACAGTTTGAACGCGACGGCAAGTGAAAATGAAAATTTTATTAATTATTAACAATAAACGTAACGACGCGTTCCTACCGTAACGAAATATCATGAAATAAAGATCATTTTACAAGAGAAATTTTACAGGCAATTGTCAACTTAATACTGGAAAAATAGTGCACAAAATAACTTTCAGATAACATTTTCATTCTTTTCAACGAGAGTTGATTGAACAAAAAAAAGGTGACAATGAACGCAGAATTTTAAATCAAATTTTTTAAATTGTTAAATTCAAAATTACTTAACCCCTTGTCTCAATTTGAAAGTAAAAGCAAATTGCCAAAATCTATCGAAATTTCAACTCGAATTTTAAACGTAATTTCTGTAAATTGAACATTGATAAATAAAGATTATATATATGATGTCTCGATACTTTATATTTAAGATAACGTTACAATTTCAATAAGCGTAAGATGGCAGCTGATTGCGGACCATAACGAGTGACCGAACTGTATACAATAATTCGTCTCTTTCTTTTTCTAGTGAACTCGTCGGCACGATATCATTCGATAGAAATTATTGAGAAGTAATAAATTTATTACTTGCTTTGCCTGGGTTATACTTAAATACTTAGAACTGAGAAAATAATAACAATTTTGGGACAAAAAATTCTCGACGTGCGTGGCACGTTATTCCAGCGCAAGAGATTAACCAGTTGCGCTAGCAACTGATTGCGGACCATAACGAGTAACCAAACCGTATACTACAATTCGTCGTTTTCTTTTTCAACTTGTCTCGGTATGATATCACTGGATAGAAATTATTGGTAAGTAATAAATTTATTATTTGTTTTGCTCATTTTGTTTTACTTAAATACACTTAAAACTGAGGAAATATTACAATTTTGGAACAAAAAATTCTAAGTTAAGCGAAAGAGGTTAAAATAAATTGAAATTTCGTAAAAGCTGAAGGCGAACGCGCCAAGACAAGTGAGAAAAGAAAAAGGGAAAAATCGGAGTGAAAGAAAACAGTATGAAGAGAAAAAGTACACTTTGTTTAAAGATAAGTGTAGTTTATTGGTGAAGCACAGCAAGAGATACAAAAGAGGTTTCGAAGCATCTACGTGCGATAGCATCCCTTACGGCCATGATGCCAAGAGGGTAATAAAGTTAATGTCGCAGAGCGCAACCGGGCGGACCATTCGTCAGATTAACCGCCAAAACCATTGTTCATACCCACGTGACGCTGGCCAAAACGATCCTTTCGTCCTTTCATGGGACGAGCAAAGACGGCTCGCGATAAACCGAGTATATAAAGTATGCAGGTTAAAACCAGTCATTAAACCGACGCTATTGTCAGCTGTCCAAACATCTCTGAACGCTGTTAACAGACAGACGCGTCTTATCTAACGTTGCGTTGCGTAAAAATGAAAACATCGTCCGACCCATGGCCCACAATAGAACGTATCTGCCGATCGAGAAACACCTCGCCCCTGCGATTTTCACGTGCTGAGTCGATCTGTTTGTTAGAACGGAATTAATCCGTCTTTATAGTGGATTCAAGTCGATTGGTAATTTAATTTATTGGTCAAAATGACCAGTTTGTAATTTTCGTAGACATTCTGTCAAGATTTAAATAATATTTCGTGAAACATATATAAATAAAAGCTTGTCTATTGTGTTATAAAGTTTCTTTTATTCTTTTAACAATAATTCAATGTCTCTGATGGGAATTTTATTCGTTAATCGTTGGTAGTTTTAGCGTTGAGACAAAGTAATATATAAAAATTCAATATTCTTTTATATTGTTTGTTATTATTGTATAATTTATTTTTCAATTAATTTTTTTGAAGCGTGACAATTTTTAAAACAATTTATATCTGTAGCAAATACATTTTGTTACATTATATTCCGTAGTAATTCGAATCGAAAAGGAAATTGAATCAGATTTCAAATTACAAATTTATAGTGGTCTGTTAAATCATCCTACTTGTACCTCTAAGCTATGTAATTCCTTTTTACGTTTTCCTTTTTTTTTTTTTTTTTTTTTAATGAAATATCACAAAATATAAAAAAAATATAATATAAAAAGAAACTTTATTATTTAAATTTAACTTTATTCAATAATAATTATTCAATTTTATTAACTTTGAATTAAACTTAAGTTCAAACGTGATTTTCTCATTATGTACTCTAATCTGCAAAAGAAGAAAATTACGAATTTATTTTGGTCGGCAGTGATTTTCGGTTCACGCTGTGTCAAAGAATGAAATCAAAAATGAAAACACCTCGATATTCGAGAAACTCTGAAAAGAAAAAAGGTGGAGAGAAGAAGAATGATTTACCTGTGTCTCTGGATTTCAGTGTACTTGAACGGTTTTGGTCGTCCACCGCCCCAAATGCCGAGGTAGTAGTCGGCGATCATGGAATGAAAGTACATTGCCATGTTCATGTTCTTGAAGTATCTTTCCTTAGCAGTGTCTCTGAATTGCCTGTGATACCAATTGAGAACGCTGACACCGTCGGCCTCTCTTTCGCTCAGGTAATTGGGCAGATCGTTTCGTATCCTGGTCCAGAGCAAAGGCGGGATTCTTCTAACTGGTGGCATGTGATATTGGTAAACGTCGTCCAACACTTTGTCGTCCAACGAGATCAGATCCTCGAGCTCGGACTCGGACAAGCCCGATTTTGCCGCAGTGATGTAGGCCAGCGCGTGGAACACCAGTATTTTGCCATGCTGTTTCTCGATCCTTTCGAAAAGCATCATGATGCTGTCCATCACCGTGCACGTTAAGTGAGTGTCAGCCGGTTTGGTGTAGCTTCTCCATCTGCAGATCTCGGCGAACACCAGCTTCACGAAGATTGGCAGGGAGCACTTGGACAGAGCGTTCGCCACCAGGCGCCATTGATAGTTGTTCAAGTCTCTGTGAGCCGTTTTCATCCACATCCTGTTGACACAGGTTGATAATAACGTTATTAGTAATATGTGTTTCTGAGAATGGTTTTGTGGGATTTTGCTGAATTTTTCTAGGGTTTTGTAGGGATTTGTAGAATTGGAATGGAAAATTAATTGAATAAAAAGGAAAGGATCGTAAAAACAATTACTGACGAGTAGACGGCGGATTTGTTTTTATACATCTTGAAATTTTTATTAATGTATTTAACTTTCATCTAGTTCTGGAACACCAACGATCACACTGACGTAGTAATATAATGATATAATATATAAGGTCTTCACGCTATTAGCGTACACTGATGATTATATATATATTACATTACATTGTATTATATTATATATCACACTAACGTAGTAATAATATAATAATATAATATATAAGGTCTTCACGCTATTAGCGTACACGGATAATTATATATATGTATACAAATATATATATTATATTATATATATATTACAATATATTATATATATTATATTGTATTATATTATAATATAATATAATATAATACATAATATATATTATATTGTATTATATTATATATCACACTAACGTAGTAATATAATAATATAATATATAAGGTCTACACGCTATTAGCGTACACGGATAATTATATATATGTATACAAATATATATTATATTATATTGTATTATATTATATATTACACTAACGTAGTAATATATTAATATAATATATAAGGTCTTCACGCTATTAGCGTACACGGATAATTATATATATATATATATACAAATATAATATAATACAGTAGATGAAACAAAGTTTTATCTCTACCTTATTACTTCCATAGCAAGATCTTCGCCAAGAGCGACGACCTCGATGAAATTTTCCTCGACGTCTATCATCCTTCGTAGCAATTGATAATCTCGAGAGATCACTGGGTTCGATTCCTCGGCGGCGCAAGATAGGATCATCTAAAAAAAAAAGAGTCCTTAATTATATTCGTTAAAGATACACGCCACTTAAGTTAACGAAAGTTTATGAAGGAAATTCTCGTTTTGTACAAAAGTTTTCGAATTACGGAGGAATTTAGAGAATTTCTTATAAATGTATGAAAAAATTCGGACTCTATTCGGTGTATTGTCGTACCTTGCAATTCAATGGAAGTCTGGTAGGCAACCAGGATAATTTATTTCCTTGTACACCGGTTAATTGATCGACGCTGTCCAGGAACAATAGTATCGGCTGCTCAGCCGTAGCTAAAGTCAACAGGTACTTAAAGTAAGCAGTTAATGGTACCAAATCGTCGGGGATCTCGTCGAATGGCAACATGAAGTTGTAAGAGATCTACAAGAGAATGTACAATTATCAACAAAATTGTTAGAGAAATCAAATTGATCAACTCTACTTTTTATAATGCATTAATTTCACATTGTTGAGATATATAACGTGTATTTAATATTCCAAAGTAGGAAACGTTATTTTTACAAATTTATTTGCAGTAAGAAGATAGAATAAATAATTGTAGATTTCAAAAATATTTGTAACCTGTTGCGTATTTTAATTTGTGTATTTTATTGTGACGTGTCTTCTATGATCGATCTATAAAATACGTGACGATGAAACTTGCTATGAAATTTATCTGCACACAAACTTTTAACAATCCAATAAGAACTCGTAAGCGATAGAAAAATCCTTCCTCGATATAAACACGTAAATAAAACTCCATTTTTTGCAATCATTCAGCCAAATTCTGGCCATGGAAGCAGAACTTTCGATAAATAAAGTAAAAAGTCAAATTTCAACTTTCGACGATCGAACAAGAAGTGAATTCTCTGCGCCTCGACGGATTTACGTAAGATGAAATTCTACCGTAGAATTATTCAGCTACTTGCTTGTTGACAAATGGATATTAACGTGGGTGTCAGTGCACTGCTGTCTGGCGTGGTACCAAGGAAACGAATTATGTTTATAGGCTTTCTTCCAGTGAGCCACGCGCTGCTCGTTAATCCTGCGCTCTTCGCTAACAGAGATGTTTTTCCACATCCACCTTCTCCGTACAACACCAGCGGCTTCTCGCTGTCGCCCAGCATGTACTCTTTAATTTTCTCCAACGTGTCTTCTCGGCCGTAAAACACCTGGAAGATTTGAATCTCATTTGAATCTATCTTTCGTCCAGCGATTTTTTTTCAATCTCGAAATCATCTCCAGCTCGTCGAAAATTTAAAATTTCTCTCCCCGATACTTCAACTGCATTTCACACTTCACGCTTTTAATTGAAATTCATGTTTTTGAGAACGGAATTGTGCTCAACTGGATAATTTGTTTCACCCATCGAGTACTATGCTATTAGATATTTTACACATTTTCTATCTTTGTTGGATTTTTCGCACAAATTTCGTCAAAATCCGCAGTTTGTCTCGTGATTTTAAAAGTTTTGGAATATATTAGTCTGATGAGTTTTTGAGAATATTAGAGAAACCTCGAGACGTGAAAAACGCATTTATTCATCTTTGTAGTTTCGACCAATTTATCAAAATAGATTTCCGAGAGATTTCGAGTAATCGAATTCTATTCTAAAGCATTTTATTTCGGATTGGAGCCTGGTAGCTCGTCACTGTAAGATAACTTTTCTTCTATAATAGTTTCTGTTGGATTTACCCTCACGGAATTGTTACAAGCGTGCAAATGTTGCAACATCTCCGTTATGATCTGTCCCTGTGCAGAACTGTCCTCTTTCCTCATAGCACGATCCACCAATTTCACTATGTTTCGATAGAAATGTGTTATAAAGTGTTGAAGGTACTCGCTATGGGTTTCTGGATCCAGACCCTCTCGACCGATCCATTCTACCGTGTATCTTTAAACAAGAAAGCAGAAAAACAAATTTGAGAATGTATACGTAATGATTCTCCTTGTAAAGTATAATTAGCCATGTCAGTACGTCATAATTGTAATAATTTTCAAATATTTAAAAGGGATAAAGTTGAGATTGGAAAAGAAGAATTTTAAAAACGGAACATAAAGATAGAGAATAAAAAATTGTCACGAGTTACATTATATGTAATAAATAATAAATTAAAATTTACCATAAATAAAAAATAAATCACATTATTAAATTTAATTTCAAGTATACTGTAAGTAAAAAAATAAATTAAGAAATATTGTCAGTGTTTCAAAAATAATTTAATTGTAGATAAAGAAATTAATTAAGATCCGTAGAAGGTCCAATAAATTTTCTCTTCCCATTTTAAATACTTGAAATTTCACAGATGTGCTTGCAGATGTACGATTTAGACGTTTAGTTACCTTTGCAAGTTTGTCGTTTCGATTTTCTCTGGAAGCCTTTCATCCCTCAAATTCGCCAGCAGTTTGGAAGCCTCGTTATCTAAGCTTCTATTGGCGATGTCTAAGAATAAGCTGGCTTTCCTCAAGTTTTGCAAATTAATGTTGTTGATGTATCGTATGTATGCCAGGCAATGGTTTTTCGTGTTCTTCACGTTCAAGATACCATTGATCACCTCTCTTTCAGTGACTATTCGATAAATGAAAATTACACGATGTTTCAATTTATTATTTTAGATTTAATCGACTTCTTATCGACATTGATATTTCTTGCCTTACAATTTTCTCCCCAATAGTCTTAACTGTTATAGCTTCAATTTAAAGAATTTAAATTCAAAGTTCCATAAGAGTACAATTGATCCTTTTTCTTCAAAATTGAAACAATAATTCTTACCATAGAAGATTAATACATAGATGACTAGTAATTTGTCCTAGATTTTACTAAGATCTTGGATATTTAATTTTTACTATACGATAAATGAAAATTAAACGATGTTTCAATTTATTATTTTAGATTTAATCAACTTCTTATCGACTTTAATATTTCTTGCCTTACAATTTTCTCCCCAATTGTCTTAACTGTTATAGCTTCAATTTAAAGAATTTAAATTCAAAGTTCCATAAGAGTACAATTGGTCTTTTTTCTTCAAAATTGAAACAATAATTCTTACCATAGAAGATTAATACACAGATGACTAGTAATTTGTCCTAGATTTTACT